TTTCCTCTGGAATGGTTTAGCCATAATATAAACTCTCACAAGCCAGCCTACTTCCTCTAAAGCAGACACTGAGACTGTAGTCCATCGTGTGAAATTGCCACTAAAGAAATTAGCAAACCAATCTTAAATCCAGCTTTTCAACTCACTCCACATACCACTTCTATCCAGATGAAAAAGAATCTTTTCTAAACATCTCCACCGGAAATTCCAGAGACTTACATCTTAGCAAAGCAAGATAGTCTAGTCTCAGGACTTGTTACATGTGAATTCATCTCTCTGTTTTTAAAGTCCTACAATGGACCAACTTGAAATTTCTCTGTTTAAAACTTTTGATATGACTAGAATTTAAAATATAACCAGTTAGTCTAGCACTTAGGCTCAATCTTTGATATAGTAGGTATCAAACCTATTTTTTCAGGTTTGTAACCTGAAAGAATGTGCAGTGTTGTTTGCCATAATCCTTATTTAACAGTTTTTGGTTAGTTCATTAATGATTTCACAGGAAAGTCAGTTTAATAGATACAAACTTATAATGCAAATATCTGTGGAGTCAAATACTCACCCACTGTTCAATTTCTAAGGATCTACAAAGTATCAAGCACTGATTGGGACTCAGGATACAGAGTTAACAAGGAAAGTTTCTTCATTTTTGCTTAGGATCTGAAAAAAAGAAGTAACCATGTAAATAGATAATGTCAACTCTACAGGATAATACAAGGCTAGAGGTACAGATCCATTCCTTACCATCTTGCTCTTCTCTCTGGAGAGTCCAATGGTAATGAAATAACCTAAACCGCCAAAACCGGTTTGGCTCAGTGGATAGAGCGTCAGCCTGCGGACTGAAGGGTCCTGGGTTCGATTCCGGTCAAAGGCATGTACCTTGATTGCAGGCACGTCCCCAGAAGGGGGTGTGCAAGAGGCAGCTGATTGATGATTCTCTCTCATCGATGTTTCTAACTCTATTCCTCTCTCTTCCTCTCTGTAAAACAATCAATAAAATATATTTTTTTAAAAAGAGGAAAAGAAATAACCTAAATCTATATTTGTTTTTCCTATTCAGTTCTTGCAACAAGTGAAAATAGTATGTTCCTTGCAGCAAATGGAAACAGTTTATTGAGTAAAATCATTTCATAATATCTCCTACATTGTGTTTGGAAGGAAGAAAATTTAGAAGGGAAAAAACACAATGAGCATGCTTGTTGAAGAGACGTGAAATGGTAGAAAGCTCTAGATGAGGTACCAGGTAACCTGCCTTCTCACAAACTGTGTGACCATGGGGAAATCGTTTTAACTTTCTGAGTCTTGGTTTCCTCACCTCTAAGTGGGAATAAAAGTCTTTTTCTGCCCAACTTAATTATTGTATCACATGTGAAAGTACTTTGTAAACTTTGAAATGTAAGACCTTAAAGAATTAAAAGTCTTAGGTAAAAGTATAGGTTTGGGGCTATTCATTAATACTACATTTTCCTCTGCGAATACTTAGTTAATGGTAGCTTTGATTAACAAGAAAACGAGCTTTTTACATAATGCTGTAGTGATAAATTAGGCCTAGGACCAGGGAATTCATTGTTACCATTGAGTGGATGAGGCCTTCTAAGTCATTCCTGATCTCATTAACAAAATAATTATTTCAGTCTGGAACCTTAGTACATTTCAAAGCACAGTTCTACCATGTGTTCCTCTACTTAATTCTCACAGCCTGAAAGTATAGCAAACTTAGGGGCTGCCCTAGACTCTTGTTCTAAAGAGCCTTCCTACAATTAGCCCCCACAACCTGCAACTTAGAATTTGATTATATAAAGGCAGATGAATTACTTTAGAATAAACAGAGTAGGTTCACCAAATAAACAGAAAGAAAGAGAAAAATATACCTTTTTGGAATTTGATACTCCAGAAAAATCAAAGTACTCATGAGAAAAATCAGAATTTTGTCAGACTTCTGAGACTTATTTTACAGTGCAGCATAACTTTATTTCTAAATTACATAAGTGCATAATATGTGCTTAGGACCTCTAATGTTCTTACTTTTGGCCCTCAGAGCTCTGGTACATAAACAGTGATTTGGGTAGAGTACAGCAGTCAATCAGGGAACAGTGGGAAGATGCTTCCTATAATTGTTCATACCTTCCTCTGCTTCCCCTCCTCTACCAACGCCAATTTACTTCCAGAAAAGTGCTGCTATTAATGAGTGGTGATTTGCCCCAGGCCCTCCAGGGCAGTTTTTAAAAGAAATCCAGAGAAATTCAACTCTTTGGCCTGAGGTTACACATTGAGTTATTAGAAGGAAGAGGACTAGTATTATTAGGATGATGATGGCGATGGTTAGGATAAAATTTATCAAATACCTACTTCAGTCCCATATGCTATGCTAGGTGATATGTATTCATCATTCATTTTATCCTTCCAATAATCCAGCAAGAAAGTATTTTTTTTCTATTTTAGAGATAAAATTGATCAGTGATGAAAGAGGTGAAGAAACTTCAAGGACACAAATCCCAAATTGCAAGAGGGATGTCCAACTGCCAGTTTAGACCCCATCCCTGTGGGGGGCCGAAATTCATGCACGGGAAGGGGGTTCCTCAGCCTGGCCTGCACCCTCTCCAATCTGGGAATCCTAAGGGGATGTCCAACTGCCAGTTTAGGCCGGGCTGAGGAACACACACCCCCGCCGTGCACGAATTTCATGCCTCTAGTAAGAAATATACTCACATAGATTGGCTGGTGTGGCTCCGTGGTTGAGCATCAACCTATGAACTCATTTGATTCCTGATCAGGGAACATGCTCAGGTTTTGGGCTTGATCTCCATTAAGGGGGCATGCAGGAGGCAACCCATCAATGATTCTCATCATTGATGTTTCTCTCTCTCTCTTCGTCTCTGAAATTAATAAAAATATTTTGTTTTTAAAAAAGAAATATACTCACATCAAAATTGCTAATCTGCAGAATACTCGGAACTTCAGATGTGTAACTGTTGAGCACTGATAATTCCACTATTTCATCTATCAAATATATAATGAATGCCTGCCATGTGTAAAATAGTATTCTAGATGTTATATGAGAATACAGGATTCTTCCTATGGGATCTCATAGCTCAAGGAAGGAGCAGTAAGTTAAATATACAAACAAGTGAGTACAAAGCTATATAGAGCAGTTACAGTTATGCTACAGATGAAAAGCTCCATTGGAGGCTATTAGTTCCAAGCAGTCCAGCTTCTCACTTTAGTGTGACAAAGGGTGTTTTCATATTAGGCAGCCAACCCATAGCCCAGGCAGCACCCGAGACCCATTCCTGACCCTGATTATTCAGCTGTGCTACCTCTACATAATCAGCCATGTATTTCTAGTTACTTTGTCTGATGTGTCCTCTCAGATTTAGCAAGAGGGTCCTTCACAAAGACATTCTTTGTAGGATGCAGCATACGTTCCCGGAGGCACATCTACAAGTTACGGGAACACAGTTAGACATGAAATGATAATCACAGCACTTGGGGTTTCTAAAAGTTTAATCATATAGAACAATGCAGGGATATTATCCAAGCAGTGTTCTCTAAATCCAAAAATTAAAGATGACTGTGAGCAGGACAATTGGGGAGACAAGACAGAAAAGAAGAGCCCTGGCTGATTTGGCTCAGTGGATAGAATGTTGGTCCAAGGACTGAAGGGTCCTGGGTTCAATTCTGATTAAGGGCATGTACCTCTGTCTTTCACTTCCCTTCCACTCTTTCTAAAAATCAATGGAAAAATATCCTAGGGTGAGGATTAAGCAAAAACAAAACAAAGGACATTAAAGAAAAAATAATTGTTCCTTATATTTTGTTCCAACATATATTTTCCCTAGCATATTTTTTGATTATGGATAGTATAGCAATTAGCTTCAACATTTAAATCTTATTTTTTTTACTTGAAAGATTTGGAATTAATGAAATATTACTATTCATATCAGAGTTTGTGAAATTAATTGAATCATGGAAACTATAAGGTGTATGAAACTTCAGGGAGAAGTTCAGACTCGAATTAGAAAGAGCACTTAAGACAGTGCTGAGCATATACTCAGGGTGAGCATATAATGAATAGGGGAGACAAAAAGTTACAAAGTATTAAGTTAAACCATATGAAATTTCATTTTTAATGTCAAAATAGCTAAATATTTGTGACTTGGTTATTCAGCCTATTAAACAAAATGATCAAAAAGGTCATCTATAGTCTGATGTCAACATGTATTTATTAAATTTAAGTATATATATATATATTGACTATACTCTAGAATTGAATAAATGAGAAGTTCTGACAATTTAACTTTTAATTTTGTATGAAATTGCAATTTAAATGTAAGCAGGTGGCAAAATTATTTCAGAAACTAAAAATATTCTAAAAGATCTAGAGAACTTCTCAGTTATTCACACTTCATGATTGTGATGGTATTGAGGAAATACTTATTTGGTTACCAAGCTTTAGTGGTGTGGTATGGACTGAAGTTAACTAGGACTTTGCTTTCAGACTCTCCCTATGCTGACCAGGGTATTCCTGCCAAGTCCTTTATTTCTTTCCCCGTCCTTAGTCCTAATGCTGACACTCTCCAAGTTTATCTTAGAAAAATCAGGTGGAAAAAAAAGGGAACTAATCATTGTGAAAATGAACTGTCAGGTGCTTTACTAGACAGTTTATATATTATTGTATTTAATTTTCACAATAACCCTATGGGACAAATATTATTTTTATTTTATAGTTAGAAAAACTAAGACCTAGAAAGGTTAAATAACTTGTCCAAGGTCCCACATAGTTTGTTAATGGTAGAGAGCTAGTCTTCAAACATTCTTATTTTCACTATATATCATGCTATTCATCTTATTGTTTGCTTAATTATATTTTATGCATCTTAAAAGTGTCTTGTTTACTTATAATAAATTCACACATGAGTAAAACAATGAGATTGCCATTTTTTTTTCTTTTAAAAATGTAATATGGTAAAATACATTTAAATCTTTTTCTTTCTTTTAAGGATGAACGTGAAGCAAGAGAAAATGTGAAGAGAGAGCAAGATGAGGCCTATCGCCTTTCACTCGAGGCTGACAGAGCAAAAGTAGGTTTGGTCAATGGACTTCTGGGATAAAGAACTCAAACCTAAATATTTTTTTCATTACTTAAGTGCCAGCCCTTTTATCACTTTGATCCCCCCAAAAATGTTGGGTTTGCAATGGAGAAAGCTAGATTCAGTTAACAGAAAGAACATAATTTTACCCCCTGGTCCTTGAAGTATGGTATGGTTCATTTTGACAAGATAAAGTTTGTTGAGAATCATAAAAATAAAACCAAAATGGGCATATTATTTGTTTTGTTTTATTTTTAGTGAGTCTAGGGTACAACCTAACAAGTTTTAAAAAGCTTTCAGGTGATTCTAATGTGCAGTCAGGTCTGAGCACCACTGATTTACTTAATGCTTTTTGAGTACCTGCTTCTGCACTGGGCATCGAAGGAAGGTAAAATGAATGAGTCACAATTTCTGCTCTCAAAAATGTGGCAAAGAATAGATTAAGTCAAGAGCACAGATATCTATAACACTTAGGCAAGGATTCTAAATGTCATAAGGAAAGCACTAAGTTCTGTGAGAATTCAGTGAACAGGAGTTCAATAGAAAGGTTGTTGGTGTTTTTTGTTTTGTTTTGTTTTTTAGCTTTTCTGAAAAGCCAAGAAGTGAGAATGGACTGGGAGGGATGCATAAAAGAGGCTGTATATGTGAACTGGATGAGGAGGGTTGGGAGAGAAAAGTAATATTTGCTAACAGCAAAGGGTACGTGGTAGAGGCTGACATGAATAAAGCCTGATATTTGGATAAAGGAAACATAGCCAAAAAGACTAGAAAGGAAGATGAGACAACAGTTTTAATGAATGTGACATTACTTAGAGCTACCTAGGTATTTGAATAGGAACCCAACATGAACAGAGAGATATGCTTTGTTGTTGCTTTCATTTTTATTCTTATTCCAGAGAGAAATATAATACTTCTATTACCACAGTGCACCTCTGGGTCATGCGGAGACTTAGCTCTTTTTTTTTTTTTTCTTTCTTTCCTTTCCTTTTTATTTTAAAAAAATTTTTTTAAAGTGTTTATTGAGTACTGGCTCCCTTTCTCTTTTATCAACAGAGGGAAGCTCATGAGAGAGAGATGGCAGAACAGTCTCGTTTGGAGCAGATTCGAAAAGAACAAGAAGAGGAACGTGAGGTATGGCACAGTTTGAAAATGTTATTCAAAAGCTAGGTTTGTGTCCTTTACATTTGATACTGTTAATAGTTCTTAGAACTTCTTTCCACATTTCCCAGACTCATTTTAGTATGGACAGTCTTATCTTTTCCTAATCTGTTGTATAGAACTCTTCAAAAACTTGATCTTAGACTAGATTCACAGGTTTCTATTCCTTTCCCTTCTTCTTGCCTCACAAATACTCCCATTCTTTCTGGATATTATCTCACCCAAAAAATACAGAGATTCTATTGTCAGCCTTTTCTTAGCTTTTTTTTTTTTTTTAATCTTTATTGTTGAGAGTATTATAGATGTCCCATTTTTATTCCCCCTTTGCTCCCCTCCATCCAGTTCCCATCCTGTCCCCGACCTTCACCATTCTATTGTTGTCTGTGTCCATAGATAATGCATATATGCATGTAAGATCTTTTGGTTAATCCCTTCCTGCCCCCGCTCCTCCTTCCCTGTGAGATATTTTATTCATCAGTTTACTTTATTAGATTTTTTATTTGTTTATTTTCATTTTTAGATTCACTTGTTGATAGATATGTATTTATTGCCATTTTATTGTTCATATTTTTTTCTTCTCCTCCTCCTCCTCCTCCTCCCTTCAACATTTCATCTAATATTGGTTTGGTGATGATTGAACTCCTTTAGCTTTTTCTTGTCTGTGAAGCTCTTTATCTAACCTTCAATTCTAAATGATAGCTTTGCCGGGTAGAGTAATCTGTAGGTCCTTTCTGTTCATCACTTTGAGTATGTCTTACCACTCTCTCTGGCCTGTAAAGTTTCTGTTGAGAAATCAGCTGACAGTTGTATGGGTGCTCTCTTGCAGGTAGCTAACTGCTTTTCTCTTGCTGATTTTAAGATTCTTTCTTTGTCTTTAATCTTTGTATTTTAACTAGAGGCCCGGTGCATGAAATTCTTGCACGGGAGGGGGCGGTCCCCTCAGCCTGGCCTGCAATGATGACACCAGGGTCCTCCCATCCAGGAGTTCATAGTCTTGCAAAAATAGAATTACAATACCACATGTAAAGTTTATTATAGAGGTCTGCCTTAGTGTAGTGAAAACAAAGAGAAGGGTGTTAAATGACTTTCTATGGCGGCTTCACAGAAAATAACTTTTTTGTAGACATGAGATTAATAGCAAGATTCACTTATGTAAAGAGGAAGCCTAGAGAGCCCTAACTGGAACTGAGGAAAACTCCACTAGTCATTATTCTCAGTCAGAGAATGTCACCTCCTACTTACTCAACTAATGTTTTCTTAACAAGAACTGTGCTGAGCACTGAAAGATAAACAAGGAAAATAAAACATTTTCTGCCTGCCAGAAGAGATTACATCTTGTAGAGAAGACGCAAAATGTGTACAAGTAATAGGAAGTCAAGGGAAAATGGGCAAAATAACATGAGAAGTAAAAGCAAAATACTTAAGGAGTTTAAGAGCAAAGTAAAAATCAGTAACAGCTTTGAGAATCAGACAACATATCAGAAGAAGTGATATTTGAGCCCACTGTTCAAATATGTGTAATATTTTACTGTTTGGAAATCAACGTTTACTCGTGTTTAAACACTTACTGAGTGCCTATCATATATGTACAGGTCACTATGCCTGACAAACCCCAGTCTCCCTTCTCAGTTATGGAAGGTAGAAAATACTTTGCTGAGTATGATCTGTATCTCAAGTGTTCTGCTAGCTGCTTTATATTGCTTACTCATTGACCATTAAAACAAGCTTACAAGGCTAGAGATTTCTCTACAAGTGAGAAAAACTTCATTGAGAAGTCACACATAGCCAGCACACAATAAGTGCCTAGCATCAAACCTCAAATCATTGTTCCGTACTTTAAATCAGAACTTAATGTGATATTTCCTGGTTTCTCCTCCTGTTCTCCCTTAATCCACCTGTCTGCTTGCTTTCTGTTTTGACATTTTCATGCACAATATAACAACAGATGCTACATTATTACCTGAACCCAACCAATTTTATTTCAGGAAAAAAACAAAACAAAACAGTAGCTCATTACCCCATTCATTGTAAAGACATTGTCTGCTCCTCAGTGTATCTAGTCTCCAAGGCTTTTCCCCAGAATGAAAACTGACCTCAGATATCCCACACATGGATTCAGTGTGGGAAACAATGAAGAGATATTAGATAAAAGTCAGCAATATTGATCTAAATACTCAAGTTTTTTCGGCAAGAAAGACAAAAAAAACTAGATCAGTAGCTCAATTTGAAATCTACTGGCTAAAAGCAAAAGCCTCATGTAAGTAAACATTGTTGAAAAACAGTGATATAAAGGACACTGCCCTAGCCAGTTTGGTTCAGTGGTTGAGCATTGGCCCATGGACAGGAAGGAAGGAAGGAAGGAAGGAAGGAAGGAAGGAAGGAAGGAAGGAAGGGAGGGAGGGAGGGAGGGAGGGAGGGAGGGAGGGAGGGAGGGAGGGAGGGAGGGAGGGAGGGAGGGAGGGAGGGAGGAAGGAAGGAAGGAAGGAAGGAAGGAAGGAAGGAAGGAAGGAAGGAAGGAAGGAAGGAAGGAAGGAAGGAAGGAAAAGAAATCAATGGAAAAAATAGCCTTGGGTGAGGATTAATAAAAATAAAAAAGACATCTATACTCAAATAGCAGCCTTAGTAAACATCATTGTTCAACTTCAATTTGGTTTGCTCATCAAGTATAATTTTTATCTGCATTTTAGGTCTGTAAGAAAGCAAGGAAACCTGCTATAAGTTGAAAATATGAACCAATCTTGGACTTCAGTTAATGGTTGCTTGGGGTTGCACTAGTTAAAAAGTCCTACTCTCTCAGTTTTTACATGGAGAAGCTGAGAAGACGTAAGAAATGTAATCTAGGCCTGGCCAGTGTGGCTCAGTTAGCTGGGCATCATTCCGTGCATCAGGAGGTTGCCAGTTCAATTCCTAGTCAGAGTGCATGCCCAGGTGCTGGAACATGCAGGAGGTAGCTGATTGATGTATGGATCTCACATCAATGTTTCTCTCTCTTTCCCTCTCCCTTTCTCTAAAATTCAATAAAAAAATCTTTTTTAAAAACAAAGACCATATAACTAGAATTCAATTTTGATATACATAGCATCATATATTCACTAGGTTATTAATATATGACAGCATTACTAGAATAGTTTAATACTTGAAACTATTCAGCTGAAACTCATTGTTGACTCAAGACACCAATCCTATATAATAAAACCCTAATATGCAAATTGACCAAATGGTGAAACGGCTATGATGTGCACTGACCACCAGGGGGTCAATTGCCTCACATTTGCACACTGACTGGGAATGGAACCTGCAACCTAGGTGTGTGCCCTGAGCGGAATTAAACTTGCAAATCTTTTGGTGTATGGGACAATACTCAACTAACTGATCCACCTGGCTAGGGCCCATTCTATTTTAATGTTAATTTATCCAATATTCTACAAACTTTTAAGTCATTTCTACATAGGAAATGTATATATTTCAAATGTGAATAGTTGTTTGTAGGTGTGTTTTGTAAATGCTATTAATAACCTTAATTTTTATCCTAGAAAGGAAGCAACTGGGTTATGTAATACCTCTTTCCTCAATCTCAAATACTGTAACCCTCCAGTAAAAAGGGAGAAAAAAAGGAAAAAATTAAATTACCTTTTTTTTCTATGAAGTTATTTATCACTTTAACCTGTTAACCGGGGAGTTCCCTTTTCAATTATGCAACTTACAACAGGCACATGCTCTTTCACTAGGACGTGTCAATATCTCACGCCCGGTGGACGTAATTTCATTTTCTTTTTATTTATACTGAAAATAAATGAAAAGACTATGAAATATATATTTTTTCATTTATTTATATATAAAGCAAAAAGGAAAATACAAAATTACAAATAGAAAAGAATACCAACAAAAAAATGGAAACATCGAATTAAAAAATTATAAATTTTACAAACAATTATAAAGATTACAAAAAATATTTTTTTTATTTCGATACACAATAAAAAATATAAAAAAGTTAACAATTACAGAACAATAAACAAAAGCACACAAGTAAAATAGAAATACTGAGTTTAAAAAATTAAAATATAGATATAAAAATTCAAAACTCAACTTCCGTGTGATATATTTTAAAACAATTGTTGAGCCGAAACCGGTTTGGCTCAAAAGGATAGAGCGTCGGCTTGGGGACTGAAGGGACCCGGGTTCGATTCTGGTCAAGGGCATGTACCTTGGTTGCGGGCATATTCCCAGTAGGGGGTGTGCAAGAGGCAGCTGATCGATGATTCTCATCGATGTTTCTAACTCTCTCTCTCCCTTCCTCTCTGTATAAAATCAATAAAATATATTTAAAAAACAAAACAAAAAACAATTGTTGATACATAGTGCTACCTTACAATCTGGACACCAGTATGTAGATTCTTTCCTAACACCTTTTTTGTAGCAAACTTGGCATTTCCTGGATTTAGTTTTTCCTATATCGCTTTACATTTGTTCTGGAAAATGCCTTTCAAGTAAGTGTGATGGTTTAGATGTAGAGCTGCTTGTTGATGTCTTTGAGTGGGTTTTCACTATGTTGTTACCTACCAATTTCTCTACACTATCAAAAAGTGTAATCGATCCAAATGGCCTTTATCTTTTTTGTATAATATACAACGTATGCATTGAAGCAGCATATAGCAATTAATCGTAGAAAACATTTTTTTAATAAAAATTTTTACCCTATTACGGGCAGCCGTGTAGGCCACCATAACTCCATCTCCCAAATCTACGCCGCCCATATTCTTGTTATAATCCAGGACAACATTCGATTTTTCTTGCCTTCTTCCTCTCTTTTCAATCATTGTCTTTTCATCCTTATGAATAGAACTGAGCATCAATACATCTTTTTTATCCTTCCATTTTAAAACCATAAGTTTGTCTTTGAATCTTACTATATGTTCATTTTTCTGTAATTTTTTTGTTTTTATTTTACTGGGGATTCCGACTTTGTTTATCCTCATTGTTCCAACAATGTCTGTATTGTTTTGACACGAGTTCAGTCAAATGAATTGACGTATAGAAATTATCTAAGTAAGTCCTATACCCTTTATTCAGTAAGTCATGTGTTAACTCCAAAACAATTCTTGTTGAACACGTCCACCACTCTCACTAGCGAAATTATACTGATTCCTTCTGTGTCTTAAATTCATGTCGAGACATGTATGGATGACTAATACCTTTGTTGTTCGGAAATATACGTCTCGCTTGTTTCAGGGCGCAACATATATTTCAAGGACGTATACATATGTCCTACCTGTACCCGATATTGTTTACGTTTGACGTATTTATACGTCCTGCTCCGTTAACAGGTTAATAATTTGTGTCACCCTGGCCAGTGTTGTTCAGTGGTTGGAGCATTGGCACACATACTCAAGGCTCACAAATTTGATTCCAGGTCAAGGGCACATACTTGGGTTGTAGGTTCTCTCCAGCCAGGTCAGGGTGCATACAGGAGGCAATGTGTCTCTCTCACATTGATCTCTCTCTCTCTCTCTCTTTCTCTCTCTCTCTCTCTCTCTCTTTCTCTCTCTCTCTTTCTCTTTCTCCCTCTCCCTCTCTTTTCCCCTCTCCCTCACTCCTTCTCTTCCACTCCCTCTTAAAATTAATGGAAAAAATATCCTTGGGTAAGGATTAAAAAATAATAAAACAAGTTGGAATTTATTTTATTAATTGCCCCTTGGGCTAATACAGGGGCTTGCAGGAGAGAGCTGATCAATGATTCTCTCTAATCATTGATGTTTCTATCTTGCTCTCCCTCTTTTCTCTGAAATCAATAATAATATATTTTTTGAAAAGTCACTTTGGAGCAAAAAGTTAGGTAATAACTATATATATATATAATTTTGATTGGTTTACAATATATATATATTAATATATATTGTAAACCAATCAAAATTATACCTTTTTCTGTGTGTGTGTGTGTGTGTGTGTGTGTGTGTGTGTGATCAGTAAAAAATATACTTTTTGGTGTGCCACAGAATTTTAGTAGTTAATGTGTGCTGTGAGATGAAAAAGTTTGAAAATCGCTGGGCTAATATTAAGAAAGTGAAAAACACATGAGTTTGTTATTCAAGCATTAGGCTTGGTTAATAAGTGGGAAATAGCTATTTTATGAGTTTCTAGAAAGCAGCAGCTTTTTTTCTAACCTCTCCCCCACTCCTCACAGTCTCACCCATTACATAGTTTAACACCTGGTTCTTGCTCTCCTTAGGCCATTCGGCTCTCCTTAGAGCAGGCCCTGCCTCCAGAGCCAAAAGAAGATGCTGAGCCCGTGAGCAAACTGCGGATTCGTACCCCCAGCGGAGAGTTCCTCGAGAGGCGTTTTCTGGCCAGCAATAAGCTCCAGATTGTCTTTGATTTTGTAACTTCCAAAGGATTTCCATGGAATGAGTTCAAGTTACTGAGTACCTTTCCTAGGAGAGACGTAAGTTCCTATGCCTTTCTTGAAAAGTGTGTCCAGATGGGAGATGTACCATCATTAGGGCTGGATAAAGTAGTCCAAGGAAAGTCCAATGGTACAACCTTTGGGGAAGGTATGGTCTCTCAGGGCAGCAGACATATGCCCAATAGTCTACGCTAGAATTTAGGTACTAGTGTGGCATTTTTTCCTAGCTATTTCCCCTGTTCCAGCATTCATTCAGGCTTTTCTGAGATCTCATCTCTCTGAACCTCAGAATAGATGTGAAAATTGTGTGCCTAACATCTAACAGAGTTAGATCAAGGTCAATGATTATATAGGTTTACTAAGAACGAGTCTTGTTAGAACAAGAGTATTTTGTGATTTGATAGTTCTTATTAGCCTGGGAAGTCAAGGAGAGTAACCTATATTCACTGTGTATCTGCATTTCAGCAAGATTCTTAATAGTTTCTGATAGTATTCTGAGGCAAAGTATAATAGAGAGATAAATCTACAGTTAGGTGAATTCATTGCTGATTAAACAGTGGTGACCACGAAGTGTTGACTAAGAGTCTGCCCGCTTCTTAGAGGGAACCAAGAAGTTTTATATATAACCCTTTATTACTCACTGTGCTTACTAGCAACTTAAATGAAGACTGTCAGATTTTTGGATTATGGAACAGAAGATTCAATAAAACCTTGAAATATTAAAACAATAGACAAAAATGAACCTGGAGAAATATTATAGAAATGTAGAGAGATTTATGCATTAAGTTTAGAAAAATCATTTGCTCATTTGGAATGGAAATATCATGCTTTAGCAGGTAGTCAGTTGAATTAAGACACTTAGGTAGTCAGTTGAATTAAGCAGGCTACCTAAGTATCTATTCGTCTGACCGGTAGCTATGACACACACTGACCACCGGGGGCAGGCGCTCGCGCTCAACACAGGAGCTGACACGAGAGGCACTGGCCATTTAAAAATAAATGGCACCACGGACCTGGTACTTACATACCAACACTCGGCTTCCCCAAAGTGGGACACAGGCCCTACCACCACCCGAGAGATACTCCCCACCCCACTAAGTCACAGCCAATGCTGCCAAGACCCCATGGTGCAAAATTTGGCACCCAGCCCAGAAACAGTCACTGTGGGTGCCAGGTAATAACATCATGTAGCCATGCCCAGCTTCCTCTCCCTAGCTACTAGCCTCCTTGGAGTTTCTTCAGCCCAGGAACCAACTTGCTTTATAGCCAGGTGCAAACATTTTACAGTTTAACCAAATGTCTGTGAAGCGTTTTCTGTGCCTCATCTCATTTGATCCTCACAGAAGTCCTGGAGTAGGTAGATAGGAGATTCAGTAGAATCCTATCTTCTTTTCATTAGCAAGATGCGAATAGTGATATTAAAATATTTCTTCTAATTTATTTCCCTTCAATATGCATGAGTCCATGCAATGGGACACTAGGACATAAATAATGTGTTTTGGCTGCCAACAAAAAGCTAACTATAATTTTAGAGATGTAATCTTTTAATTCCAACAAAAGAGTCACTTGATGGTCCTATTCAGCTCTCTACTAAGATAAACTACCTCTGAAAGAGTCCTTATTCTACGCTGAAGCATTTCTTTCTTTCTTTGTTTTTTATCCTCACCTGAGGATATGTTTCCATTGACTTTTAGAGAATGTGGAAGAGAAAGGGAAAGACAGAGAGAAGCATCAAAGTGAGAGGAACACTTTGATTGGTTGCCTCCTGCATGAGCCCTGATTTGGGCCCCAGCCAGGGAGGAGCCTGAACCTAGGTACATGCTTGATCAGAATCAAACCCAGACCCTGCTGTCGGCAGGCCAAGACATTATCCACTGAGTCAAACATTTCTTAGCCCTCGAACAGCAGACCTCCATTTTTTTCTCCAGAAGTTTTGTGGAAAATTAAGAATATTACTAGTGGCATACAGGAAGCTTAGCCAATGTGCAGTCAGAAAAGATGTTTCCTCTATAGTTCATACCAATCGTGGGCTGGGCTGAAGTTTTAGGCCTGGGCAGGGGCCCTCCAACTCCCTCTGATCGCCGGCTCTGCCCCTGTCCAGGCCTCTGCTAAATGCTTTTGGCCTTGGGCAAGGAACTCCAGGTTCCCTGTGATCACAGGCTCCACCCCTGTCTAGGCCTGCCCAGACCTAAAACCTCTAGCTGAGGCTTTTGGCCTTTGGCAGGGGACCCCAGCTCCCTGCTATTGCAGGCTTCATTCCTGCCCCCTCCTTCTGATTGCAGGCTTGGCCCTGCCCAGAAGCCCCCTGGCTCAGGCCCTTCCCAGGCTGCTCTGGGCCCAGATTGCCTTTCCTCACAGTGACCTGGGTGCCAGGATGTTCCTGGGACACAGGCTCTGGACGCTTATGTATGCAAATTAACCACCATCCTTTTTTTGTTGTTAATTTGCATACTCACTCTGATTGGCCATGGGCGTAGCAAAGATATGGTCAGTTTACATGTTTGTCTGTTATTAGGTAAGATTGTACCTGCACAAACATGCCCAAGGGAACAGATGTGTGCACATGCTGTGTGAACCACATGTCCAAATACCTTAAATTCTGTCAGTGTAGTTAAACTCTAAATGTGTGAAGCTTGGAAAAGAACTACTGTTAAGGGATTCAAAATTAGCCTTAAGTTTTACATCTCACCTTGGAGAACTTAACAAAACTTAGGAGTTAAATTAAACCCTTGTTTTGTTTTGTTTTTTAATTGAGGTACAATTGACATATAACTTTATATTAGTTACAGGTGTACAACATAATGATTCGATATTGGTGTACATTGCAAAATGATCACCACAACAAGTCTAATTAACATCCATCGCCATACAGTTACAAAACTTTTTTTTCTCATGATGAGAACTTTAAGATCCCAGCCCTTAGTTATTTTTACTCCTCTTCTGGGTCTCATCTGTAAAATGGAAGTGCTAGAAAAGATGGAGTCCAAGGACCTTCTGACTCCTAAAGTTAAACTTCCTTTCAAATTAATTTTTAAAATTGACTATTGGGGATAGGGTAAGGGAAGCAGTCTCTTAAAAAGATCTGTGTTTATTATGATCAGTGTTAATGACATCTTCCCACAGGGTAAAAATGTGGACTGTGGGAAGTAGGGGAACTGTGAAGTGAAATGTAGAGGAATGTTGGGCTGCTACCTGCTTGCCTTGAACTCTACAGACCAAGAATGAGGTCTCTTTAGGGCAGACTGTTAAGTGTCAATAGAGGATCAATCACACAGTCTTAGAGAAACTTTACTCTTGATTTAGATCTTAATCATGCATGCATTGTTTTACACTGTTTTTATTCGTCTCATCTCCCATTATTCCTTTCCCGCCTGACCCCATTTCTACCTCCATCCCAAGGGCAACCTCCATCCTCATCCTTAGGGCAGTTTAGATTAAGTTTGCCCCAGTTACCCAGAGAAAAAGTCTAAGCAAATTTTTCTTCTTATAGGAGAAATCAAGAGCTTCCCAGTATACAGCATGGGTCTATTTTATGGTTTTTGGTCAACCTGAAATTACCCACTACCCAGTGGGGTTTTTTTTTTTTAATCCCACTCTGATCATTCCCTTTCTTACTTAAATTTGGTAGCTCCCTACTGCCCTAGATAATTATAGACACCTTAGAATGTTTTCAAAAATTCTTCACAATCTGGTTCATACCTACCTCTCCCAACTTTAACTCTGCCTCTCATTACTTCCATTACGAGGAGATAAGAGATTACTCAGTATTCACTAAAGACATAAGAGACTCTCATGCTTCTGTTTGTTCTTTCTTGGATATCCACCCTTCCTGCTTTTGCTGGCCTGTTGGAACTCATTTTTTTAATGTGCAGCTGAAATGTCATCCTCTCTGGGAAGCCCTTCCCTTCTCCCAAGCTCTTCCCTATGTACTCATTGCTGTTTGTACATTCTCTCTCGTAGTACTTGTCCTATTTTTCTGTAATTATTTAGAGAGACTGTCCATATCATCTTCATATCTATTCCCATTGGTCTTACATGGTGTCTCACCCACAAACATTCAGTTACTGTTGTTGAATGTTAATGACCTCAGGTCTGATCCTAAAGCTCTGATTCCAGGGTGAACTAGAGAGGTTGTTTCAAATAAGAAGAGATGCCCTAGGCCCACCCAGATTCCAGACCCAGACCTAAACCCATAAAGCCCACCCAGGACTCGTTAGACCTCCTAGAGCCAGGGCTGGGGTGAGAGTTAATGGCCCTTCATCCTTCTCTGAATGCTATTTCAAGTCAAATGACTAGTGTTTTTGCAAGGCTATTCTGTAACAGCCATCTGTGTCTGCAAGGATTAGGATCTAATTTGTAAAAGTCTTCTTAAATTACCACCAAACTAAAGACTGTTAAAAAGCACATCTTAAGACCTTACTTCTTTAATAACAAATAACATAAGACTTAGCTCTAGGAGTCTTATTGTGTCTTCAGCCTTTTCTCCATAAAGCAGAGCCTGGCTTCTCACCAAAGGACTTGCTAAATGCTCTTCTGTGCCTCCACCCCCAACCAGAACAACACTTCATGCTAAGATTTCCCAGCTGTCCAACTACTTACTAAACCGAGCACTGGGGAACAACCAGCATGGCCTATGGCAGACATGGGCCTTCCCTAGAAAATCTGATGGTCAGGATGCTGGGAACGTTGTGCTGTTTGTTTGTTTTTGTTATTTTCTCCATTTTGCTAATAACTGTTACCAAGAGAAGAGTAGCATTCACTTCCAGAGTTTGGTCCTTCAGCTCTGCCTCTTGGATATGTTAGAGCCATGTGAACAGCAGTGGCCTGTCTGCCTTCCCCAGGCTTATAAGGGAGTTGGTAGTGAAGCAGCTGAGTCCTAAACACTGAGGAATGGCCCTGACCCCACTACTCACCATGCCTAGGAGCCAGAGTAAGAAGCCCCTGCTGGCCCCCCCAGTTGCCCTCTAGACATACATTGGTCCGGGGCCATTCAGTGTGGGTTTGTCAGTATCCCCCAACCAACTCCTTTCCCACCCCTC